CATGAAGATCCACATAAAAATATTTTTGATGTTGATTAAATCAATGAATTTGTACACACCAACATACTAACCATAAGATACAAAAATATTGAAGGAATGGTCATTCAGAAGTTTAAAATGACCAAGGGCAAATAATAATGCATTATTTGACAATTTGAAAAATGAGCACAACTACACAATAAAAGCCTTCACCCCTTGAATTAGCTTCATTGCCAAAAAATCAGATACATCTCTAAGGTAATAAATATTCAAGGTTGCCTTAAGCTGGGAGATTGTTTTTGGAAATATTTCGGAAACGCTATCATCTGGCTATTATTACGTCAATATCTTAGCAACAGCTCTTGGTGGTGTATATAAACCCGAATTATTTTCTCGTCAATTTATATTTACAATTAGAAAGAATATCAAATCCGAGAGGCAAATTGAAAAAAAAACTTTCGTGAAACTACTAAACCGAAGCATAGGGCGAGGGAGAAATTAAAACACTAGTTCCCTTACTACAGAAACACAATATCCATTCAACATTACGTACATCCTGTTGTCAATCATATCATGTTTACACAATTTTACGTCTTAAAAACAATCGCACCTTTTGTCGCTTCTAATCTTAAATCAAAGTTGCTCTCGGAGAAGTATAATTGACACAAGGGGGAAATATTCATCTAGCCACCAAGACGGGAGTAAAACACTAAATGCGTTTCAAAAAAAAATTGTACTTGTTGGGAATATTTCTAATTTGGGCCAATGAAATTTTTAAAAACACTATATGCTTTAAAAAAAACACACGCAGTGCTTAACAAAAGGGGCAGAAACAGGGGACAGGGCTGGAGCTGGTGTCAGGAAAGTGGTTCAGCTGGACCTCAGCAGGCAGTCCGCCACTTCTTACCTAAATAGGACAAGCGAATTAAGCGAGGATCCTCCAGTCCCAGTGAGCGTTTCCTCACATCCCACACCAGGTTAGTGGGACGTGACATCCTGCTGCTCCTCCTGTTACACAAATAATATCAACCACTGCGGGCGTCCGTCATTATCCACCCGACAAGACAATAAGGTAGCCAAAGACACCATCAAACACCGCCCGAGCCAAACCGCTCCTTTTTCACATCGTTGTTATTATTGTGGTGACGACCGTCATGTTGGCGATGGGCGAATGGCCGTCTGTCAGCCGTGGAAACATCGCGAGATCCCGTTCAAATGGACGTGGAGGGGGTGAGACAAACTCCGCGCATCAGCTGGACGCGCTGACGTCACGAGAGACATCCGTCCCCAGTAACCAATCACATCTGTCTAAAGCAGGGGCTGGGTGCCCAGCGTAGTGTCATTGGTCAGCGACGGTAAGGGGTGGGTTTCAAAGTGATCCGGCTCCGCCCATGGCTGTTTAGCGCCGGCTGTCGTACAATCAGTGTCGGGCTGTACAAAGTTAGAGGTCGAAGTGGGGCCACCCGTGAATTTTCCGGGCCTATTCTAGGCGGTTTGCTACCGTCTGTACAGACACTCCCTTTCTGAACGGTTGCAGGTTGTAATAGGTGGAAGGAATATGGCAGTAGCGGGTCTGAGAGCGAGTTATCACCGAATATTGGATAAAATCGGGATGATGCTTCCTCCCAAGATGAAGCCGTTTTATGATCACCCAGCAGGTAACAGCCGTCCCTTGCTGCTGCGACCGGCCTGCTGGCTGGGTTTATTCTTGACGGAAGTGGCTTGGGCGGCAGGGTGGGTAGATGTATGTGTGAAGGAGTGGATCCTGCTGCTGTTGCTGTGAGTGTTTGCTGAGCGAATAAAGGCGGGGGAATGCTGTACAAAGATGAATAGCATTTAACAAAAAAAAATCATGTTTTGAACCGCGGCTGTTTGTCATCGGTCGGGGACCTGACATCTGCTGTCATTGAAATAAATGATTGTATGGCTTCTTGGGGGAAGAGAGGAAATGGGCCACACTCCGAAGGACCTTCAAATTTCACCTTTCCAGTAAACTGGTTGTAAAGTGGGTCTTGACGCCTCAGAGGTTTATTCCTGTGAATCAAGTCCTGGCATTTTAGTGCACAGTTAGAAATGTAGTCCCGTCATTCAGACGGGGTGGTTGTAAAACGACTCCTGCAGCACAGACTGGTAAATTTAGGAACCTGGCGAGTTTATGCAAGTAATAACTTGGTTCTTTTCAGAATATTGTTATGTGTTTTGACCTTAACTTTATTTTTAAAAATAAAGATCATTCGTCGGATTGAAGGTAAGTTGGTTTGGTGTCCCATGTCTAATCACTTATTTGTAAAATTTAAAGCAGTTGTAGATTTAATATTTTCAGATATGATTTTCAAAAGAAACTATGCGCACAACTTCGATCGATTTTTCGTATCTCCAAGGAGATAACTGTACACACCACTTCAGCGGTAGCAGCAAGGCTGTGACGTTTCAGCCTCCCTTGTAAACAGAAGATTAACTTGCAAGTGTTGCTGACCTTCTATCCAGTCTACACTTGCCTCGACAACTGCGAAATGGTAACTGGTGTCAAACATGTGCAACTTTACAAATTCGTTTGGAATAAAATGAATGTACTTTAGGAGCAGTTTGGGATCCATCTTTAGAAAACTGTATTAGAGCATTGTGCCTTCAGTCACTTTGATTCTGTTTTTATTTGAATGTGTTTAGCAAAAATGTTTTTAAAGATGAAATAACAGAACCCACCAGCCTGTTTTCCAACAAGCTGAATACATTCCCCCTGTAGTCAAGAACAAAATCTTATAAAATAGCCATTGAACTTTACACACTGAAGCAACATTGCCATTCTTACAGATTCTTGCACTTACCCAGCTCCCCCCCCCCGCTCCATTTTTCTCTAACTCTATTCCCTTCTCCAGTCAATTGCATGATTTGGATGCCACAACTGTTCTCTAGTTGAGTAGATAAAGCATGGTATGGGATGTGTTGCCCTTAGTGCTTAGCTCTGAATGTGTGAAGTGTTTTAATTTATAATTGGCTTGCAGTGCACTTGTCTATTTGTATTCCAGGATTAAATGGATGTAAACTGTGTATAGTCTGAGGCAAGTTATGGAGTTGCATTTATGCTTCTTTCCTCAGAGAGCTCGTAACTGGCCTAGGGTGGCCGATATTCTGGCAGTTATGTTCTGATGCTGAAGCCATAATCCTCTGGAAAGTTTGCCCAGGTATCTCTGCTCTCTGCTGGTTTTGATAGCAGCTTAGTCCTCATATCCTCTTCCTTTGGCTTATTTCTTTTGGAGAATAGCACGTGGTGGGTTTCCAGGGTTTATCAAAACTATCATTGGCTTGCCCATTGCTCCAGGTATCTTTGAAGCTTTTCTAATGTTATTTTTGAATTTATTTGGCTACGTACCTGATTATATTGTACAAGTATTTCTTTCAATTGGATGTAATTTTTCTAATTCCTTTCCAATTGCCCAGCCTCAATTCTTGAAGTATTTCTTGGATCTTGCGATTGTATGGATTTTATTTGGACAGAAAAGATGTAAAGAGTTGTTCTCCAGTTGGATATTTCAACCATCATTTTAAACAGGTGTATTTGATTTGGATTTGAATATAGCAGTCACACTATCACAATTTGCAGATACATCAAAAAATGAAGCTAGGTAACAGTGTAAGCAACTCTGGGGAACTTGGGCAGATAAGTACCGAGATAAATTTTAATGTGGAGAATTGTGAGATGATACTTTAAGGACAAAATAAGAGGGCATATTCATGGGAAGACTTTAAAAGTGCAGAAAGACCTTTGAGTTCAGATTGACACACCTTTAAAAGTAGGAGGACATTGAACAGAAGAATGTTAATCATTTGCAAATCATTGGTTAGACAATAGGTAGAATCTTGGATAGCTTTCACCAAAAATATTAGGGCAAGTTGAGATAAAGCTTGACAATAATTGCTCTTTGGAAGAGAATCGTTATTTATTTACAGACTGGATATTGTGGGGCCTTTCGTTATGACAATGACGCTTAAGATGTCTAACTGCTATTTAAAGTTGACTTTTCACAAAAAAATTTCCTCTAACCTTTAAGCTGGTAACTTAAGGCCATGAGTTTACAGTCATCCTCATTAAAAACAGCAGGAGAAGTTAGAAGAAATTCTTTTACATGGATGGTTGTTAGGCCACGGTGTAGTGATGTGGGAAATTCTTATCAGCTTCTAGAGGAAATGTTAATAAATATTTACTGAAAATGTATGGAATAAAGACAAGGAAATGGATAACTTTCTCATAGCCAACACTGGCATGACGGCCTGAATGGCCTCCTGGGATTCTACGGTGAGCTAGTGCCTATTTCACCATTGAAGAGGATGACGAAGCCAAACCCAGTTTTTGTCCTACTGAGCAGTCATGCGTGTAATTGGATGCAATATCGCTGCATAATCATTGGGGCAGGCAGCCTCACCATTTTCTCCCCCAAAATATATATTGCTTCTAACAGTTGAGAAAGTACACTTACATGAAGTGAAATACTTGTTTCTTGTGCTACAAAGTGGCTCATTTCCATACAATTACAATTTATATTTAACATTTACATTTTTATTTCACATTGAACGTTCTCCGGTGCGCGCGCACCAAGGAGTTTACACGACTTCCTAAAATCTGGTTCCAGGTCCCTACTGTAGACTGTTCTTCTTTGACCTTTGCAGCAATTGTCCCAAGCTTTAGTTCATACTCCATAAGTAACTCCTGGATTTAGGAATATGTAAGTCTGGAACACTCAGTCATGGCTAGATCTTTGACCAGGAATACCAGCAAGTTCCCTGCAGATAAAGGAGTGTCTTTCAGAGATTGGTTGTCTTCCAACACCAGTTGATGTCTATCTCAAAGTTAGTCCATGGGAATAGTTTATAGAGCACAGAATCCTGCATTTAGTCACTGCATGAGATGAACCTTGACAAGAACCACTGCGTGTCTTTTCAGACTTGGCAAGGTACATTTCATGATAGTAATTGGTAAGGGATTCAAGGGCAGCGTACAGTGGTGCCAAGATTCCAGGAGTGACTGAAGAATCTGGTTGGGAATGGCTTTTTCTCCCTAGTCAGCTTGTTTGAAAGTTCTGGCCCTGAGGCATTCTGCCATCTAACTTTGACAGTCTGCTCAGGGAATCGCCGTACAGGATTTATTATCTCCTCCTTTCCCTGGAGAGCCTTGGTGGTATTTTGTACACACTGCTGCCTGATGAATTTGTGGTCAAATGTATTCTCTCATAAAATGTTTCCAGTGGGGACAGGTGTGGTATAGTAACATTCAACTGAATGGACATTTTTCAGCAACAAGGCCAGAACCAACCTTCACATCAATGGGAACAGGTAGAACTCAGCACTTAGTGGAATTTGATGTTGCATATGACATGTTGGTGAAGCTTAAGACATGGGCACAAAGGTGGCCATCAGCAGAAGGGAGATAACAAGATGTGGAGCTGGATGAGATATTGGGCAGATCGCTCCTTCTCTCTTGCGCACTCCCTCTTCTCCCTTGTGCTCCCCCTAGCTCTCTCTCTCGTGCTCCCTCCCCCTCTCTCTGACTCATCTTCCCCCAAAGAGCAATTTAAACCTGAAAAACCGGTTCTTGCCTGTAATGTAAAGGGAATGTTGCTCCCCTTCTGTTTGACCTCAACTATACAATCCTGTTTATACGTATGCCCTGGCTTCTTCAAACCATATCCCTAGCAGTTTGACTCATCTGACCTGATATCATATGTTGTTCGATCTAGTTCCTAAAGAACATAGCTGCAGTTTGCTTTGGATCCCATGGCTAGATTCTGATCAGTCTAGACACAGTGGAATCAAGCAGAAGACAGCAATGCTGTCCATTTACGTGGAGGCTTTGATCCGTACTGCTTTGTTGCTAGGGATTATCCCCTAAGGCTCCATGCAGTGTATGATGTAGAAAGAGGAGAAAGGATAGCATGATGTAGAAAGAGGAGATAGGATTAGTTGACTCTCTAATTTTGATGAGAAAGCTTTTTATTAGTTTCTATTGATGAGCAGCAATATTACCAAGATTTGTAGAAAGCAATTGGTTACAATTGCTGATCCTCTATCCAAACTTTATTTTGAAGAGCACACCATTACCTTGGTAATGGATATACTATCAAAGGCTTTGCCCCTAGTATAAGCTAATGTTGACTGTCTTGTCTTGTAAATGGGTGTTATCAGCACCAAATTCTACCTTACCCATTTTAGGGTGCTGAGACCAACTCAGTCACTCCATCAGTTAATCTCTGTAAATTATTGGAACTAGCAACCTCTGGTTCACATACCTAAATGACTCATTAATTAATTTTGTTGTTCCATAGTGGGGTGTAGTTTAGTTAATTATCCAGTTATAGCATAGAGAATAGAACCCTGAATTCAATAAATCTGGTAATTCACAACCATTGATTGCTGAAAGGCTAAAGGAGCACAAAAACACCAAACATTTAAACATACTTTAGAAGTAATCTGTCACTGTATTTGGAGAATTGTCCAATTTGATCGATCATTTACATTTGACCTTATTCCAAGGAAAGCTTTAAGGTTATGCCTTGTACTCCAACTAAATCTCCTAAAATAAATAACATCAGTTAGTTCAGAGAAAGCTTACTGGGATGATCCCTGATTTGGAGGGATTGTCCTATGAGCAAAGGTTAAACAGCTTGGGACTCATTATAATTTAGAATGAGAGGTGATCTCATTGAAACGTATAGGCCTCTTAAGGGAATTGACAGGGTAAATGCTGAAAGGATGTTTTCCCTCATGGGAGAATCTAAGACAAGAGGCATAGCCTCAGAATTAAGGGTCACCAATTTAAGACTGAGATGCAAAGGAATTTCTCCTCTCAGAAGGTTCAGAGTTTTTGAAACTCCTTGCCACATAAAGCTGTGCGGTCAGAGTCCTTGTATATATTTAAGGCTGAGGTAGGTAGATAAGTTATTGATCAGTGGGGGAAATCCAGCCAAAAGTTGGAGGTGAAGAGTGTCAGGTCAGACATGATCCTGTTGAATGGTGGACGAGGCTCAAGGGGCTGAATAGTTTACTCCTCTTCCTATTTCTCCTGATGTCCTGATTTTTATCAAATTTATTAATTAAGTTCTTTCTATTGTGAGGCAAACAGCATCTATGGAGGGAGAAACAGGATTAATGTTTTGGGTTGGTGACCCATTCTCAGTTCTGATGAAGGGTGACAGACCCAAAGCAAGTGCTCTGTTTCACTTTCCACATATATGCCTGAACTAGTGATTATTTCAGCATTTTCAGTTCCTATTTCAGATTTCTGGCATTCACAGTACTTTACTGTTTTATGCTATTTTCATTGCTCTGGCAGTTTTTTATAATGTAATGTTTAATTATTTTGACAAACAATGTTGATCCTTAAAATGAAACTGAGGTGTGATCCTTGAAGCTTTGTTTGTTTCTTGTTGGGTGTTTCAAAGAAGACCAGGAAGAATAATTTGTGAAAGAATTATTTCTAATTTGTTGCAAAACAATCAAAATATTAGACTTGTTTTGTTTAGGATATTTAATTTTTTGATGAACTTGCTAATTGTTTTAAAATAGGATATAGCAATCTGCACTGCAGTAGTTACATAACTATGCAGATATTATTGGTGCTGTGTACTGAATGCCTTTGGCGACTTTTCCAATCACTTAGCAACTGTTAAGTTCGTGTAACCAACATGGCAGTACAATAGTTATTAAAATTTCTGTTTTTAGGCAAAGTGTAAATCCTACCCTATTCAAAAGTTATAGTTGAATTGAAAATGTTTAATTGTAACATTAAGCTATTTTTAAAAAGCACAAGATAAGAATGATTTGCATAGGCATACCTGATTGATGTGGCTGTTATTAGTTTTTACACTGAAATATGACGCAAATTTTCAGAAATAAAAACAGAAAATGCTAAAGAAACTCAGCAGGACGGGCAACATCTGTGGAGAGAGAAACAGAGTTAATGTTTTGAATCCATTGTCTCCTCTTCAGAACTGAGATTGTCAGCCTGTTGAATTCACAGGTTACTGGATAAACTATACTATACTAACTTAAGTTGGCCTGCACTTACATTATCTACTGAATAAAAATGGTGAACATAAACAGATTTGTATTTTTGAGCATGCACCCTACTGCATTAACACTAAAGAAGCAGTACTTATACATTTTTTTTTGTTCGTATGTTGTTGGTGGTGCTGACAAGGCCAGCATTCATTGTCCATCCCTAATTGCCAGAGGGCAATTAAGAGTTAACCACATTGCCGAGGGTCTGAAGTCACATGTAGGCTACACTAGATGAGGATGGCAGATTTCCTCCCTAAATGACATTACTGAGCCAGATGGGTTTTCATGACCATCAATAATGGTGAGAATTGGAACTAACTCTCAATGTCTAGAATATTAGCCTAAGGTTCTAGAATACCAGTCAAATGAAATTAACACTACCCATCGCTTCAACTGTTAAACTTCAGCTGAAGATTTCCCACTGTTGCTCTGCAAACCAGCGAATTAGGATATAGTTATTATTGTTTGGCTGGCACAAGTATGTTTCATGAAAATCAAAGGTAGGCAAGAGAGGTTGGGCCTGTGCTAACCAAAGTGTAGAAGAATGAGAGATGACCTAATTGAAACATAAGTTCTTGGGGGACTTGACAGGGTAGATGTGGGATGAGGTCCCAGTTAAGACAGAGGTAAGGAGGAATTTCTTTTCTTTGGGGATTGTGATTGTGTTTTATTTTAACTGTAGAGTCTGGGTTGCTAAGTGTATTCAAAGCTGGTATAGACAGATTTTCAATCAGTATGGCAATAGAGTTATTGGGAAAAGGCAGGAAGATGTAGTTGAAAGTTAGCATGGCTGATAGTGATGTCAGTGAATAATGCAGTGGACCCAAATGTACCTTCTGATCTTGAGGATAGAGGATTTTTGTCAAGGCCCTGACTCTAATAGTTTTTTTTCTTGGTTACTAGAATTAAGGGATATTACATTTAGCTGTCATATAATTACTCTAGTAATAAGTCATGGCACAATAGGTAAATCTATTGGGTTCATAGAGATGTACAGTCCAACTTGTCCATGCTGACCAGATATCCTAATAAATCTAGTCGCATTTGGCCCATGTCCCTCCGAACCCTTCCTATTCATAGAACCATCCAGATGCTTTTTAAATGTTGTAATTATACCAGCCTCCAACACTTCCTCTGGCAGGTCATTCCATACATGTACCATTCTCTGCATGAAAAAGTTGCCCCTTAGGTCCCTTTAAAATCTTTCCCCTCTCGCCTTAAACCTCCGCCCTCTAGTTTTGGATTCTTTTATCCCGGCAGAAAGACCTTGCCTATTTGCTCTATCCACGCCCTTCATGATTTTATAAACCTTGATAAGGTCACTCCTCAGCCTCTGATGCTCCAGGGAAAATAGCCCCAGCCTATTCAGCATTTCCCTGTAGCTCAAAACCTCCAACCCTGCCAACATCCTTGTAAATCTTTTCTGAACTCTTTCAAGTTTCACCACATCCTTCCTATAGCAGAGAGACCAGAATTGCATGCAGTAATCCAAAAGTGACCAACCTATATTGTCCTGTACAGCTGCAACATGACCTCCCAACTCCTGTACTTGATGCACTGACCATAAAGACAAGCATACCAAACGCCGCCTTCATTATCCTATCTATCTGCGACTCTACTTTCGGGGAACTATGAACCTGCACTCCAAGATCTTTGTTCAGTAACACTCCCCAGGACCTTATCATTAAGTATATAGGTCCTGCCCTGATTTGCCTGTTTTAACATGCAGCACCTCACGTTTATCTAAATCAAACTCCATCTGCCACTCGGCCCATCTGATCAAGATCCTGTTGTACTCTGAAGTAATCTTCTTTGCTGTCCACTACACCTCCAATTTTGGTGTCATCTGCAAACTTACTAACCATACCTCCTATGTTCATATCCAAATAACTTTATACAAATGATGAAAAGCAGTGGACCCAGCCTTGATCCTTGTGACACACCACTGGTCACAGGCCTCCAGTCTGGAAAGCAACCCTCCACCACTACCATCTGTCTTCTACCTTCGAGCCAATTCGGTGTCCAAATGGCTGGTTCTCCCTGTGTTCCATGTGATATGACCTGGCTAACCAGTCTACAAATGGAACCTTGTCGAATGCCTTACTAAAGTCCATATAGATCAACTACACTGCTCTGCCCTCATCAGACCTCTTCGTTACTTTTTCAAAAAACTAAATCAAGTTAGCGAGATTTCCCACACAAAGCCAAGTTGATTATCCCTAATCAGTCCTTGCCTTTCCAAACACATCGAAACCTGCCCCTCAGGTTTTCTTCCAACAATTTGCCCACCACTGATGTCAGGCTCATTGGTCTGTAGTTCCCTGGCTTTTCCTTACCACCTTTCTTAAATAGTGGCACCATGTTATCCAACCTCCAGTCTTTTTCTGTCACCTCCCCTGTGGCTATCAATGATAAAAACATCTCGGCCAGGAGCCCAACAATCGCTTCCCACAGAGTTCTAGGGTACACCTGATCAGACCCTGGGTATTTATCTACCTTTATGCGTTTTAAGCCATCCAGCACCACCACTTCTGTAAATGGCGACATCTTGAAAAATGTCCATATTATTTCCCCACATTCTATATCTTCCATATCCTTCTCCATAGTAAACACTGATGCAAAACATTCATTTCATATCTTCCCCTATCTCCTGTGGTTCTACACATAGGCAGTCTTCTGATCTTTAAGGGGCCCTATTCTCTCCCTACTTACCTTTTTTGTCCTTAATGTATTTGTAGGATCCCTTTGAATTCTCCTTCACCCTATTTGCTAAAACTATCTCTCGTCCCCTTTTTGCCATGCTGATTCCCCTCTTAAGTATACTCCTACTGCCTTTATACCCTTCCAGGGATTCACTCAATTTCTGCTGTCTAGACCTGACATATGAATCCTTCTTTTTCTTTGATAATTGAATGCCTGAAAATGTTCTCTCAAGATATGTTCCAAGTAGATATCATGTTTTAGATTTCCATCTGCGTTTTCCTTTCAAGTTCCTCTTAAACTCCCAATATGTTTCTTTTTAAAATGTCCCTCCGGTTCCTTTATTGTTTTGAAATTAAGGAGTGTACTATTTTTCAATTTCATCCATCCTTAGCAGTCTTTTGAGTCGTCTTAGCCTTCCACAGTACGCAGCTTTGTAAAGCCTTCATTTAACTGTTTAATGTGCCTTTAACTTTTCTTTTACTTCTTCCTGTCTCTGGTATCTTTACTATGCTTTTAGGCAAGTAAGTAAAGTATTTTGTAAATTGCACCTTGAAAATATAAACCTTTTATCTCCTTCCCTTTTTTCTAGGTCCTCGCACAGTGTTTTTCTGGGCACCAATTATGAAATGGGTAAGTGTATCATATTACAGTAAACTCAAAGATTTTAGTAAATTATGTACTATAACTGATCCTGAAATGCATAACTCGAGAATATAGGTCTAAATTGTGCAATTGTCATGGCATACCAGTCCAGAATGGCAAGATTGGTGATGCCCATTGTAAATTTTGTTTTTAAGTACCAAGTAACCCTTTACTAAGTTAATGACCAGTTTAGAAGGTCTAAAGTCAGTGTATGGATCTCACTCACTCATGTTGACAACTTGTTTAAACTGAAGTTTTAAAAAAATGCTTGCTAATTTGAGATATGACCTTTTAAAACAAAGTCTGAATCATAGATTCCCTACAGTGTGGAAACAGGACATTCAGCTCAAGTCCACCCGCCCCTCCAAAGAGCATCTCACCCAGGCCCATCTCCCAACCGTTTCCTTGTAACCCTAAATTGCCCATGGCAAATCTAACTAACACACCCTGGACACTACATGCAATTTAGCATGGCCAATCCACCTAACCCGCACATCTTTGGACTGTAGGAGGAACCAGGAGCACCCAGAGGAAGCCCCCTCAGATATGGGGCGAATGTGCAAACTCCGCACAGATAGTCACCTGAGGGTGGAATCGAACCCAGGTCCCTGGTGCTGTGAGGCAGCAGTGCTAACCACTGAGTCATCAGCTGCCCTCTGGGGAAAAAAAAGTTCTAAATATTCTGTTTCTGTTAAACAAATAACTCTATAATTTTATATGTAAAGGGATAGCATTGTTCAAATTCTGACAAAAAAGTATATGATGTTGATTTACATAATTTGAACAGACTTTTTTTTCAAAATGAATGAAAACATGAACAAGTAAACACTTGATTGGAATTTTAGAAGTGATAAATTCAATAGGTCCTGTGTTATTTGTGAATAGGTGCTGAATGATCACAAACCTGACCAACAGCAAACTTTATTTGCTGGTTGGCATTAAACAAATGTTTATTTTCTAAGCACTTTTGTTATTCAGTTGTACATTAACCAGAATAAACCTGTCATTTTATTTGATTGTGTATGTAATCAAAGTCTGCCACACAATTTTAAATGGCAATGGAAATGCAATTATTTATAACTGCAATAAGTATTGTGTATGGTGACTAATAGTACTTGTTGGATATGTTTGTACCTTTTCTGGTTCTTATGTAAAACATTTATTGTGCAATTGACTTCTTACTTCAAAGATATGCTAATTAAACTCAATTGGTGCCTCGAAGGGGATTCTATCTTTTACAGAAACTAATTGCTGGACACTTATTTTAATTGTAATGATATTAGGATCTCATTAACTAGAGAAGGAAAGTGCTCAGTCGTGACAGTGTGGACCTGGAGGAACACAGCAGGTCAGAGAAACAGGAAAGCTGACGTTTTGGGCCTAGACCTGAAATGTCAACTCACCGCCTTCTCTGCTGCCTGACCTGCTGTGTTCCTCCAGCTCCACACCGTATCGACTCTGACTCCAGCATCCGCAGTTCTTGCTATCTTCGAAGGAAAGTACTCAATCACCTTGATTCCGATTACAGAATGAATGATTACTAAAATAATGCACAGGCTAGAAATCTGACATAAACACAAACTGCTGGATAAACTCAGTAATTCTAACAGCATCTGTGGAGAGAAAAACCAAGTTAATCCTTCAAGTCCAAAATGACTTCTCTTCAGAACTGGGTGGGGGTTTGAAAATTGTGTTTTTTATCCTGCAGGTGGGTGGAGGCAAGGAGACACAAGTGGAACAAATTGTGGGGTACCCAGAGCCAAACACAAATGCACAAAGGGATTGCTAACAATCATGAAGGGGAGAGACAGGGGGCAGAGACAGATGTAAAATGGTCTAAATCAAAGTGTGAAAATGAGTACATTCGCTTGAGAGCAACGTCAAGACATGGCTATGTCGGTGCAGCTGTACTTTGGTGGGGGGTAAAGGAGAGTTGGATGGAGATTGAGATAAATTGAGAATACAGATGTCATGCTGTGAAGTTATGGAATCCAATAAAGAGTCCAGAAGACTGGAATGTGCCTAAGTGGAGAATAAGATATTGGTCCTCTAGCTTGCATTGTGCTTTTTTGGAAAACTAGCAGACCCTGGACAAAAATCTTTGAATAGGAAACCAAAATAAGCTTTATTTCAAGAGGAATAGAATTGACAAGTAGCAAAGTTGTGGGCTAACCATAAGGTTCAACATAACTTTCACGACTGTGTGCAGCTCTGGTTGACGTGTTACAGAAAGGATATAAAGGCGCTGAAGAGGGTGCAGAAAGATTTACATGATGATACCAGAAATTTGTGAGCTAGTGCTCGTGGTACCAATGACCTGGGTTAAAAAAGGGATGACGTCCTAAAAGCAGAATATAGGAAGTTAAGGTTGGTTGGCTCACCAAGCTGGTTTGTTGTTCCGCAGACGTTTCATTGCCCTGCTGGGTAACATCATCAGTGCAGCCTCCGATGAAGCGCCGTTGTGTTTTCCCACCTGGTTTTTAAACTCTGGAGTCCATTGAGCTGGATTGCCTCACTTCCGGGTTTCCTCTGTAGTGGAATGTATATGGTGTCAAGTTCTGTGTTTATTGATGGCTTTCTTCGTGGAGTACCAGGTTTCTAGGAATTCCTGTGCCTGTTTCTGCTTAGCTTGCCCAGGATTTTGGTGTTGTCCCAGTCGAATTGGTGGTTCTCATCCACGTGGAATGAGATGAGTGAGTATTGGTCGTGTCTTTTGTAGCCAGTTGGTGTTCATGTATTCTTGTTGTTAGTTTCCTTCCTGTTTGCCCGATGTAGTGTTTCTCAGTCTCTGCAGGGGATCTTATAGATGACATTGGTCCTGTCCATGGCGGGGAGTGGGTCTTTAGTTTGGGTGAGCAGTTGTCGTAGGGTTGATGTGGGCTTGTGTGCCACTCTGATGCCCAGCGGTCGTAGGAGTTTTGTGGTTAGTTCCGATGTGTTCCTGATGTAGGGTAGTGTGATGAGTGTGTTAGGGCGTGTAGTATCTTCCTGATGTTGTTCGTGTAGGCATCTTCTGACCCAGTTTTTTCCGGATATCCATTATCCTTGAAAACCTGGAAGAGGTATTCTTCTTCCTCTTGGCGTAGTTCTGTGCTGCAGTGTGTTGTTGCCCGTTTAAATAGTGTTCACACGCAGCTTCATTTGTGTGTGTTGCGATGGTTACTGTTGAAGTTCAGTACGTGGTCTGTGTTTGGCTTTTCTGTGTACTTTCGTTTGGAGTTCCCCATTTGTCTTGCGCTCTACCATGACGTCCAGGAATGGGAGCTGTTTGTTCTTCTCCTCCTCTCTGGTGAATTTTGTTCCGGTGAGGGTGTTGTTTATAAGTTTGTCTCTCTCCTCTAGTTTGGTCTGTTTAATGATGACAAAGGTGTCGTCTACGTAGCATATCCATAGTTTTGGTTGGATTAGTGGAAGGGCCGTCCTTTCTAGTCTTTGCATCACTGCCTCTGCTATGAGTCCGGAGATAGGTGATCCCATGGGTGTTCCATTGATTTGTTCATATGTTTGGCCGTTGAAAGTGAAGTGGGTGGTTAGGCATAGGTCCAGAAGTTTGAGCTACAAAAAGACACGACTAGTACTCACTCCTCTCAATCCACATGGATAAAGAGAACCAACAATTCAACTGGGACAACAGCAAAATCCTGGGACAAGCTAAGCAGAGACAGGCACGGGAATTCCTAAAAGCCTGGTACTCCACGAAGAAAGCCATCCATAAACACATAGAACTCAACCCTATATACACTCCACTACAAAGGAAAACCGGAAGTGAGGCAATCCAGCTCAACAGACTCCAGAGTTTAAAAACCAGGTGGGTAAACACAACGGCACCTCGGAGGCTGCATTGATGTTACCCAGCAGGGTAATGAAACTTCTGCGGAACAACAAACCAGCTCGGCGAGCCAACCAACCTTCACACCCACAACCCGAGCTACAAATCTACTCCAAAACCTTATAGGGAGTTGGGAAGCAAGTTTAAAAAGTAGGACCTCCAAGATAGTGATCTCAGGATTGCTACCAGCGCCATGTGTTAGTCAGAGTAGAAACATAAAGATATATCGACTGAACATATGCCTGAAGAAATGGTAAGGGGGGAGGGTTTCAGATTCCACGGGCATTGGAATCAGTTTTAATATAATTACCACCAGTGCAGAATAATGGTGGTTGTCAATTAAGAGACCTTACAGAAGATTTGTGGGTCAGACGTGAGATATTTTGGAAGAAATATAATTTAAGCGCAAGGGTTAATGAAACATGAGATTTCTGTTCCTAATCAAATCAATGCATATCATCGGATTTTCTGGCTTTTCCAGGAAAATACATGGAATACAAATTTGTTTCATTATTTCAATACAAGTCAGATACAACACAAATGATTGCAATTACATCATTGTTGATAATTGAGATGCAAATACAAGCACATGAATTGTTATACTTAGACGTATTGTACTACTTTTCTTAAAATCTACTTATTTATCTTAATTGAGAACAACTCATTTTTCTTATTTGAAGTGAATAAAATTATAGCACAGGTATAGTATACTTTTAAAACTAAGCAAACTACTTTTGAAACTATAAACAAAATAAAACCTGTCTTTCAAAGTTTGGACCTGGATTTTGTACTCCATGGTAAAGCAAAGGCACTCATCACTGACCTCCAAGCAAGCCATCCTAAGCAATCTTCTGCTCTCTGAAAACTTTAGCTTCTTCTGTGCCCTGAATTGTACCATTCTTTAAAGACAATTCCCAATGTGGAGCTGTAGTGATGTCATCAAGTCACTCAAACAGCCTGTCACAATTTCTCTAGAGAACTAAGCAGGAAATTAAATGTATTGAAATCAAAACAATTTTTTTTAAAAATGTGAACAGAGCAAAGACTGGGACATGCATTTGGAGAATGTTGAAGTTGAAATATCATGAATAAATTTTTTAATTTCAAGATATACTACTTGATCCTGACAGAAACATTAAACAACATTCCACAAATATCCAGCTGTTTTTCAGGGTGACATTTGTAGCTCAGCAATGGTTACAAGATCACCACTGCAAACTGAGTTACATCTAATCAAACAAGGCCTAACTTTCTAACAATATTTCTACAAGAAAAATGGAAGCTTTAGCCATATCAACTGATTTCGGCAATAGCTGGGGAAAGGGATGTGTTTCTCCACAACAGAGTCTGTGATAGAGCATAGATGACTGATCAAAATGGTAGCGTTTCTGAGCTAATTGTGTGATTGTCAGTTTTCTGGGGTAATGATAGAGAACATTGTCAAAATGTTTAACAAAATCTAGGCTGTAAAATGAACCCATAATGAAACTCAACCCTTAAGTATCCTGTTGATTATGTGATCTAGTCAGGTCAGTTCTTTAATTATCTCCTATATCCATAAAACTTGTATAGGTTTAAAGCTTCCCTGCGTGTTATTCCATCCATTAGATTCTTCCCAACCTCCATTTTACTGATCTTTATTCACTTTTATTAGACATAAGCAATTACTAAGTGTATAAATTTCAGGAAGGTAGGTTTGAACACACTGGCTGATCAGTGATCGATATTGTGCTAGCTACATATCAAAAAATTTGTATAGTTTACCCCTACAATCAGGTTCTTCACATGGAACCTGAAATTACACAGGTATGGCCATCTGGAAGTTTGTCCTTTTGCTAACTCTAATAATCCTGGTGAACCCCATTTGATGCCCCAACCTCCTCCTCCCCCACCACCACTACTTCTCCTGAAAGGGGATATTGCCACTGCCCTGACATCTGCCTGGCAGCATGCCCCTATAATGTTGGCACTTTTACTCCCTTCTACTACTATATGAAGTAACCCTCTGAGCACAGCCCTCCTGCTGCTGAATACTGGCTCTCTCAATGGCCGAGAGATCCGATACTGTGTCGACATCTTAGCGGCCTCTTTTAAGCAACAAAGGCTCTGAAGCCCTGTGACCCCAATGACATCAGAAATGTGCCATAAAATCCCTCCCCAATTAAAAATGTCTCTTAGATAAATTGCTGAGTCAACATGCAAAGTCTGACCTCCATGCTTTCCACGTTCAGTAAAATCTAGAAATTGCATGAAAATCGTGTATTACTTTAAAACAAATGTTGAATAGAACATCAAGAAAATATCCTCATTCTTAAATGTGGTACAGGATCTTTTACCTCTACCTGAGGGAATACCTGCTCAATGTTAGGAGTGCATCCCTATTCTTTCATGTGCTTTCTTCAAGGCAAATGTGGCCATATTTATTGTTCCTTGGGAGCGTTTGGTAGGTTTCTAACGTGTACATAGGTGACAGCTAAGGCCATCCTGCACCTGGAAGATATAACTGCAAATAAGAGTAGATACTGCTGACAATTGAGTTTTTAACAAGCGGCTGGCTCAGGATCATCTCTCCACTTGTTCAAAACTCAATCATCACAAGATCTTGTCCTATTTGGATGTTAGTGTATGGTATTTTATCCTGCAATCTGATCTTAAGAAGCTTCTGAAGACAGCTCAAGTGGAAGCTGTATTAGCTAAACACAGAAGGAAACCTACTGACTGTTGAAAGAACTAATTATCCAGACTCCAAACACCATCGCTCCATCTGTAAATTGTGTAATATTGCACAATCAAAAACAGTGATTCTGTAATATGTAGTAACATTATGTTTGAAGTATGACATAAGTGCACTAAAAAAGATTAGGATAACAATTTATTTTTGAACAAGATGCAAAATTGAACCGAAGTATGTTTGCAAAAAGTTCAACAGAGCAACCCTTAAGCAATATTCAGAGGGATCAATAAAAATGAGTTTTCATATTCAGCTTTGCTCAATAAAGTTAGGTGATCATAAAACTATGAATACGAAGTTTCTCCAAATTTCCTGTTTATTACTAGAGACGACGACAGTGACCAATTGTAGTCCCTTTATAGCTATCTTTGCTAAGACCAATAAAACATTGCTGAGAAATAGTGTTGGGTTTTGAACCCATAATATTGACATTGAATTTGGGAAAAAAAATGTATTTCAAAGCAGAGTAAATGCGTGGGTGCTATTTTTTCATTGAAGTAGTTTATTTTATATAATTTTTATTTTTGTGCAGAGTTTGGTCATTGCAGGATTAGCTGACTTGGCCAGGCCTCCAAACAAACTTAGTCCAGCTCAGTCAGGAGTCCTTTGTGCTACAGGTATTGTAAACTCGATTTTTAAATATTATTCGTAATGTATTCTAGTTTACTTTTATTCAATCTTAATATCAGACTTCTGATGTGCTGAAAATTGCTAATCAATAAATAGTAATCCTTCTCCCTTTCTACTCTTACCCACACTGATTGATTCATAGAATCAAAGAATCCCTACAATGTGGAAACAGGCCGTTCGGCCCAACAAGTCCACACCAACCCTTGGAGCATCCCACCCAGACATGTCCCCCTATAACCCACCTAAGCCACACACCCCTGAACACTATGGGCAACTTGGCATGGCGAATCCACCTAACCTGCACATCTTTGAACTGTGGGAGGAAACTAGAGTACCCGGAGGAAACCCATGCAGACACGGGGAGAATGTGCAAACTCAACACAGACAGTTGCCCGAGGGTGGAATCGAACCCGGGTCCCTGGCACTGTGAGGCAGTAATGCTAGCCACTGAGCCACTGTGCCGCCCTGATTCTTTTAAGGGAAACACCAGCACAGAATTGTCGGTAACAACGAGAAATATAATTTGGTAATCTTTGTCTAATTAGGCTGTGATTGTTCCTTAAATCAATTTGCTGCCTAATATGAATATCAATCTGTCTCCATATAAATATGTTAGTGTTTGCTCCAAAACTGATCAACCTGCATTTTAAGAACATTGGAAAAGATATTATAACACTATTAACTGAACTTGATGATTTAATTAATAATTACAAAACAAAAATTAGATGTCTTCATTATAGCTCCCATTAGTATTTGTTAACTGCATTAAACCACAGGTTTAAGCACAAATAACAATTAAACTTATCAGCAGTACTGGGTTCTTTACTGTTATGGTGGTTTCTCCACAATCTGATGCCATATGAGTGTTCCTAGGACAAGCATGATAGAAATCTTTCTAGCAAGCTTGAATATACATCCAGGAGAAAGCAGGAGACAAAGACATGAGATCTAATAGTGAGTCCATTGAGTCTCAACACAGTTAGAACTTTGAAGTTCATCAGCAGACGGCAAACTGCTAATCAAAGTGAACAGTAGATTCTGGAATTTTATTTTCTTACCTTCTGGCAGTTAGGCAATAATTATACTATTTGTTCAAGAGAATAGCCCAAACGTACGATTGTCATAATGGCAAAACTGTCACATTGCTGTCAGTACTGTGTAAAATTGACAGCAATCTCTGGTATCTGCATGTGCACAATTAACATTCAAAACCAGAAAATGCTGTATATGGTACTCTGCTACTCCAAAGCATGTACTATTGCTGGCTTCAGAGATGCGAGCAACATAGACTCGATGAATTGACGTGAATTTCAACTTTTATGTTCAAATCTTAATGCTAAGACCAATTAAAGTATTAAGCTTTTTAAGCAGGATAATAGTATATAATTTAAAAATCAAGTCATTTTGCTGCTAAACACACTTTTTTAGCCCTGAAAAACAATTTTAGAAATGTGGAGTGTCATCCTCTCAGAACATTTAAAGTTATAGGACCTTTTTAAGTCATAGTTACTTTTTAAGGTTTCCTTATTATTTAACTCAGTGTATGCAATCTTTATTGCACCTTCTATAAGTTGATTAAAATGTAAATTACAGTCACTGGTTTTTACTTCCTGGTTTGTTACCTGAGAATACTTCATTTCAATCAATCTGCCTGCTGCCTGTACTGTTGCCAATGGTGCCAAATTTAAAGCGCAAACAAAGCAAGCTTTGTGATGAGAAAAAGCTATTTCACAGTGAGTAGTTCGTGTATGGAATGACTGCCTGGAAATATGGTGCAGGCTGATTCAGTTGAAGCATTCAAGAGGACATTGAATGATTATTGGATAGAAATGGGGTGCAGGTATTAGGTAATAGAACCAGTGCAGACATGATTTACTGAATAGCCTTTCTGCAGCATTACAATTTTTTTGATTCAAAGTCACCTTGGAATCACAAAATCCACGTTCTGGAGCCTGCTAAATCTACCTGGTAAACTTTTCTTTAGGACGTTGCAGATCCTTCACTGGTGCTGGCAAAATGCAGCCCATTAAGGGATAAGAGCCTAAAATCAGCCCAGTGAACTTCTGATTCTGTGTTTTCTGCATATCTTGATTGTGAGAGAACAATAAAGATTAATAACCTCTCTTTATAATAGGTTTGATTTGGTCCAGATATTCCCTTGTGATTATTCCGAAGAACTGGAGTTTGTTTGCTGTAAACTTCTTTTTGGGTTGTGCGGGTGCTGTACAGCTAATCCGTATTGCAAAGTAAGTAACTGCTGTAGAAAAACCTGTTTTCTTTCATTCATGGTTTACACACGAGAAATGTTATGTTCTGAAATAAGATTACTTTTACTTTCAGCAACTCTTTAAATATTGAGTTAAACGTTTCCATCGTATGTGTTCTGATGATACCAACTTCAACAAGGCAAACTGAGGATTCCCCAGCACTGTAGATGAAAGAGCTCTCAGCCAGGTCCGACCCATCTCCCACACGTCAGCCCTCATCCCCTCTCTTTCCTCCCACAGCAGTGATAGGGTCCCCTCTGGAACATCCTGGTCCACTCCCCCTTCACTCTCAACACTCCCCATAGCCCCTCCCACACAGCCCCATGGCACCTTCCCCTGCAATCATAGAAGGTGTATCACCTGCCCGTTTACTTCCTCCATCCTCTGCATCCAAGGGCTCAAACGCACCTTTCAGGTGAAGCGGCGCCTTAACTGCACTTCACTCAATTTAGTCTATTGCATTCGCTGCTCACAATGTAGTCTCCTCTACATTGGGGAAATGAAGCATAGACTGGGTGACCACTTCGCAATATACCTATGTTCTGTCCACACAAAAGTCCCTGAGCATCTATTTGCCTGCCGCTTCAACAAACCACCTTGCTCCCTGGCCAACATCTATCTCAGGCTTGATGCAGTGTTCCAGCGAAGCTCAGCGCAAGCTGGAAGAACAACACCTCATTTTCCAGTTAGGAATCGCCAGCCTTCTGGTCTCAAAATTGAGTTCAACAATTTTAGAGCTTGAGGCACCTTCTCCAATGCCCTTAACCCAATCTCCCCACAACAGGCCTTGTTGTCATGCAGTCTGCTATTACACACAACCTATTGTTAGCCATTTATAGTTACAATTAGTAGGGATTCATTCACCTAGGATGACTGTTATCTACTCCTTTGTCTGTCCACCTGTTCTTCTGTCTCTTGGGGCTCTATTTCCACCTATTATTTACTCCTTACCCCCACTCCCTGCACCCAATTATCCGCAAAAAACACAACTTTTTCCTAGCTACTGTCAGTTCTGAGGAAGGGTCACTGGACCCGAAACATTAACTCTGATTTCTGTCCATTCATACTCAATGCAAACATTTTATTGTCCTTTCAAAATTTATCTGTTATCCTTTTTTATGTCCTCAGGTACAACTACAGTTTAAAGTCTGAGGACAAACATCCTGAGTAAACTCCAGCAACTTACAAGACACCAAGAAATCATCTAGTCTTTATTTTCAATGTGCCTTGTAAATGATTCGAGGTGACTGATAATATATTAACTGGCCTCAAAGATTTTGTAGTGGAGTTTCTGTTACATATAATGTTTGTAAATATGTTCTTCCACTCCCAATAAATTTTACAGTGGTACATATGTTTCTTCGTATCTGAGAACTAGTCTTAAAATATTCCACTTCTATCAACCTGTTTAATATCAGTTAGTTAGATTACAAAAGCACAAGTCAAGCCTTCTCGTAACTCTAATGGCATATTTACATTATTTACATCACATTTTTACATTACAGTACAAAGATTGGCTTCGTGTACATTTTTTTGATTACATTTGTACGTGCTTTCTCTTTCTAACTAACATACAATATTGCCTTGCCAAAATCATCTGCCATGTTTGAAACAGTCATTTTGTGTGATCAATGAAAACAAGTGTGTTTACTTCTTTCGTTGGTCTATAATCTGATTTTTATACTACCCTAGAGTCTGCCTCTCAACAGTCTCCAACCACTCCAGCATTTTTTTGGTCAGCCTGCTCTATTTTTAAATTACTTCGGACCTCCTGATGTGCACTGTTGCCTCCCACTTTTACAGTGTGATTGGGAATTATATCAGGAACTAGGGGCTCTCCAATTTCCCCAGCGTCACGGTGGCTCAGTGGTTAGCACTGCTGCCTCATAGCACCAGGGACCCGGGTTTGATTCCACCCTCGGGTGACTCTGTGGAGTTTGCACATTCTCCCAGTGTCTATGTGGGTTTCCTCCGGGTGCTCCGGTTTCCTCCCACAGTCCAAAGATGTGCAGGCTGGGTGGATTGGCCATGCTAAATTTCCCATAGTGTTCAGGGATGTGTAGATTAGGTGGGTTATAGGGGATGGATCTCGGTGGGATCCTCTGAGGGTCAGTTTGGACTTGTTGGGCTGAAGGGCCTGTTTCCATACTGGGATTCTGATTCTATGAACTCTGAAATTAGACTATACTCCAAAGTCAAAGCAGTATTAGAAGCATGTCAAATCTTATTGCACTCAATAGTGAGCAGTATGTGATTCTGGAATAGGATAAAAATTTGAATTAACCTGTTCAGGCATATTAATACACACCTCCCAGGCAAGTGGGACTGAGCCCAGATCTCCTGGCCCAGATGCACGCTGCCACTGTGTCCTAGATGCTGAAGAAATAGGTATTTTCTATTCAATCTGTTCAGAGATGTTATTAGTCATCCCCAGAGCAGGTTGGACTTGAACCTGGGCCTCCTGCCTCAGAAGTATGGACACTACCACAGTCCCATACAAGCCCTCTTAAGGCAAGAAGCAGCATGGCTACTCACATCTAGCATGGATTAACAGGTGATTCTTGATTTTCTTTCAGCATTAATTTTAAAGAGACACCACCCATGGCATAGAATTGAAGTCACAATAGGCAAACTGAAATCAAACCTACAGCATTGTAATTTTCACCATCCCATCTGAATGCTGAAGTGTGCTTACTACAATATCTATTTTATTCTGTAACATTTAATTAACAAAATTTGATACAAGCCTTTACTTAACATGTTAATTGTTAATGATCTAGAAGTGTCTTCTCAATGGCTTGTGCCATCTCATCTCTTTAAAAGTCAAAGGATAAGTTCATAAAAGAACATAAGATCCTAGATTTTATAGGTGGGGGTTCCTCATAAAAATATAAGAGTTAATACTGATCGTAGAAAAGTCTGTCAGAATAATACTGTCAGGACTTCAGGCAAGATTAAATGCAGACAAGATTCACTAGGTGGATCCAAGAATGTAGGGCTTTAGATAAGAAACATTAGAGAACCTAATGTTCTTCTCGCTAGAAGGAAACAGTGTAAGTAGTTATTTGGTGTTCAAAATTATAAATGGTTTTGAAATACACACATTAGTCACAGACAGACCAGCAAAACTAATCAGAGGACATATTTAAGATTGCCACTAAAGGGAAAAGACTTTTTTAAACACAGAAGATTTTCACATTTAAAAGTCTGTAGTAGAAAAAGCTTGAAAATCTGATTCATTATAGATTTTAAGAGAAAAATAAGGAGAGGAAAAAGAATACAGGAAATAATAAAATGACAGGGAATAGGACTAAATAGATTGCTGTTTCAGGTGAATTTACTAACATATGTTCCTTCCTTTCTCATCAACTTTGAACAACTTGCAATCATTTCTTTCAGCATTGACACCACCCATGGCATAGAATTGAAATCACAATAGGCCAACTGAAATCAAACCTACAGCATTGTAATTTTCACCCCTATACCATCACATCCAGATGCTGTGAGAGTCAGTCAGAGTTCTGCAGCATGGAAAGAGGCCCTTTGGCCCGTTGTGTCCAATCAACAAGCACTTAGCTGCTCGGGTCCCGTTTTCCAGTACTTGACCCATCAACTTATACGCTGTGCACTTCAAGTGATCATTTAAATTCTTAAATATTATGATGGCTCCTACATCTACCACTCTTCCAAGAGGAGAGGTCTAAATACCTACAGGTATACCTACAGGTCTCTGGGTGAACAAAACCTTCCTTAAATTCCCTGTAAATCCCTTGTCCTTAACTTTATGCCCTCTGGTATTGATTCCTTTACATAGAAGAAAGGTGTATTTTATCCATCCAATCTAAGCCCCTCAATTTTGTATTCCTTAGTCAGGATCCCCTTAGCCTTCTCTGCTGTAAGGAAAGAACTCCAGCCTATCTAGTCTCTTTGTAGCTGAAATGCTGCAGCCCAGACAACGATCTGGTGAACTCCTCTGCATTCTCTGTGGTGGAGTCATATTTTTCCTTTCGTCTAGTGTCCAAAACCGTGCACAGAACTCCAGCTGTGACCGAATGAATGTCTAGTGCAACTCTATCATAACCTCCCTGCTCTTGTATTCAGTACCTTGACTAATGAGGGGAAGTATCCCATGTGCCTTCCTAACCACCTTATCCACATGCTGTGTTG